CAGAGAGGGGGAACATCTCTTTGTAGTTGTCATGTCCTGCCCATAAGGAGTGGGAGGGGGTGAGCAGGGTTGTGAAAACCCTGGTGAGATTAAGGTAAAACAATACTCAGAAGTCTGGAGGCCAGCAACAGCAGCTGTATACTACAATTATCTCCAAAATGTTGGCACTTTAACGTGTACAGTCTGTCTTAAACCATATGGATAGACTACATGACCTTAAGGAATCAAAATAAGCTTAATGACTTTACAACTTAATGACTTTATGAAAGATACAGCTTTTAAGAAACTGAAATAGGTCTTGCAATTACACAATCTTTTGGTAAGAGAAAAGGAACAAAAAGACAAAACAAGCAGTGCTAGTATATTTATACTGAGGGGACGTAGCTTGTTAATAATGAGCAAATTTTTATTTTATTTACCTGTTATTAACACAATTGAACAAAAATCCTGAAATTTGAATGCTGAGGTTTTCAGAATACCCCTCTTCACCCAACACAATGAGCTCCAGGTGATGGAAGCCAACACAGAATGCTGCAGAGAAATACTTGCAGGTGTCAGAGCAGGGCTGCCAGCCACCAGCTGGGCACTTCTTCTTACTAACACACTGTGTGTTTGTTTTCCATGCAGAAACCGAAGTTCTGCGAAGGAGGAAGACCCTGCTGTTCTTATAGCAGAAGTCTTGAGAAGAAAATTTGCCCTGAAGGAGGAAGATCTGACTCTGAAGGAGAAATGATGTTACAGTCATTCAGCTCCGTAAGCAAAAGTGTTAAGCTCACAAAATTTCCTCTACAGTAGCTGCCTTCCTAAGGATTGAACCTTTTGCCACTTTTATTTATTAGGAATTTTCTGCACTGGACACTTAAGAAAGACCCTCTGGATTTGACATGTTTTCCATGTGTTGTTATATTTAAGAAAAAAAAACCCTTTTTAAGATGGAAGTTCTTTTTCCTCTGTATTTTGATGTTGATGACTGGTTAAGGATATTCTACAGAGTGCAGTGAGTGCTGCTGGATGATGTTCTTTCTGCCTAATCAAAGTCACATTAAAACTTTTTTTTGTTGCAATATAAACGATCACCATTTCCAGTATCCACAGAGGTCACACGTCCACTTCTTTCTGTTCTGAGCATGGTGCAGAGCTGCTGAGAAAGCTGAGCAATGCTTCCCAGGCCTTCCGTGTTTGGCAGGCTGTGGATTCACAGTGCTGAAGGATGTCTTCCTGATAACTTTGTCTAACCTCATGGTAGAATGAAATTGAAGGAAGTGATGAAACCCTGAAGTCACATCTGAAGGCTGCTGGCTGGTTTTACTCTCTCCTGGGTATTTCTTAGCTCACTAATTATCCCCATGATTGCATGACAGAATGGCCTTTATTTCTTGCCATAAATTTAAGACTTCATTGATGGACCTTGTATCATACAACGTGTTTTATTTAGCACTGAGAAGGTATTTCTCTGGAAATCTCTATGAACTCTCTGCTGTGCTCTAGAATGCACTGGGGGGGGATACTGGGAAGCTGCTGGGGCACCTGAGGGCACCCTGAGGAGCTGTGACAGTGCCCTGGAACGCAGTGTGTGGCTCTGGGAGGCCTCCAGGGTCACTAGGAAGCCTCTGGAGCACACTGGTGAGCTGTGGGAGCACTGGAGGATTTCCTGGAGCACACTGGGTGGTTCTTGGAGGTTGCTAGATTGTGCTGAGGAGCATCTCAGGCACTGAGGGGTTGTGAAAGTATTCTAGTGGGGCCTAGGGTACCATGGGGGCCTTGAGAGTCCTTTAGGGCACACTGGAAGGTCTCTAGGGTGCCCTAAAATGCCACAGGGAGCTCTGGGTGTAGTCTGCTGTGGCCTAGAGTACAAAAGGGAGTCCTTGGAGTACGCTGGGAAAAGCCTGTAGTGCACCCTGGAGCACACTGAGGCTCAGGCACAGACAGAGCTGTGTTCTGAATGGAAGCAAGGACTTCAAGTCACCTCCAGTTCTCAGCTTGACCAGTGCTTTGCTGCTAGCCTTAGAACACAAAGCATAATGAGTTGTTTTTTCTATCACAGGGTGAAGATGATGATTTTTGCTTCAGTAGTTTTCCAGGAAATAAAGTTAAACTGAGGCTGAGCCATTGCTACAGGCCTTGGATCTGTAGGGCTGAAATGGCTGCTCCTCTGAATCTGTGCTTTATGTATCAGAGTATGACTTTGGAGAATGATTGTGAGATATCATGAAAGACAGGTTTGCACTTTCTTCATTAATATTGACTCATAAAGAGCTACCTTTATACACAACAGCTGCCCATAATGGTTGCATTCCTTCATTTTGTGCCTTTGAGCTCTCTATGCAGCCCTGGAGCACAGGAGTGGGTTGCATTTGTGGTATGATTGGCTGGGAGGAGATTCCTATGGAAGGTTCCCTTATGAATGCTGAGGAGTCCCAGGACTCCCCATGCAGTGTGGGTGAGCATGGCTGCCCCGCAGGATACGTGGAGGCTTTGTGGGTCTGTGCAGACAACTTTTGGGTGTTGTGGAGTTGTGTCTGTGCCTTAGCATCCTCCCAGTGGTGGTGAGAGGCTTGGCAAGGCCAGGCATTGTAGTGTGGAACTCCCTGAAGTGCTGGCAAATGGTCAGCACCCAAAACCAAATGTTTCCTGCGTGGAGATCAAGGTTCTGCCAAGTGCTGGTACCCCACAGCTGTGACACAGGGGGGGTGGGGGGGGGATGCTTTGCTTTACGGGGTGCTGAGAGGCTCACCCACTGCTCTGCACACATCTCCACATCATTTGAAGACCCCCAGCCCCGTGTCCCAGGGCTGCGCCCCACAGCACGGCTGGCACCGTGCACCCAAACAGCCCCTGGTGCCTACAGCTGGATGGAGCTGAGCAAAGTGGGAGGTGATCCTAAGCACCCCCCCCCTCCTCTGTGCCACCCATCCCCAGGAACGCCTCCCACACCCCAGGGAGGAGCAGCAGTGCCTGCCCCAGCACGCAGTGGGTGTGGGGTTGGTGGGAGCCGATGGAGCCGCGGTGGCATTACCAGTTCCGGGTGATCATGCTGGGGGATTCGACCGTGGGCAAATCCTCCCTGCTGCGACGTTACACCGAGGGGGTTTTCCTGGATGCTGTCAATCAGACGGTGGGGGTGGATTTCTACGTTCAGTTCTTGGAGTTGGAGCCGGGGCTGCAGGTCAAGCTGCAATTCTGGGACACGGCTGGGCAGGAGCGCTTCAGGTGGGTCCTGCTTTGCTCGTGGGGAGGCAGGGGGAGATGGATTCCTGCAGGCTGGATCCCGAGGACGCCCTGGTAGGGCTGTGTCTCCATTGCTAAAGGTGTTGCCCTCAGGTGGCCTTTAGGGTTCACTTCTGAGCCCTGCATCCAAGTGCAGAGGGCCCAAAGGAGCCCGTGGGCCCCTGGAGCTGCAGGGGGACGGGGGAGAGGCTGGGGTGCTCCTGCTGGGATCAGGGCAAAGCGGCTTCCCTGCACCCCAGAGTCCATGGGCAGAGCATGGCACCAGTTTGCTTTGTTTCCCAATGGGACAAAAGGGATATTGGTGCTGCTGGCTGCATCCCCCCCAAAAAAACACATCTGAGATGGGAACGCTTCCATTCCACGTGCACCACATTGTGGTGATGGAGCTGCCTGGGGCGATTGATACAGCGAACGATCTGGTTCTCCTTGGTCATAGAGTGGCCTTGATGGCAGGGTGGTGGGGCAGGGATGCTCCAACAAAAGGGGATCCCCTCACCCCACCTCTGGTTGCACTCCAGGTCTGTCACCCGTTCCTATTACCGCAATTCTGCGGGTGCAATGCTGCTCTTCGACCTCACCAACCGCGCGTCCTTTGAGAGCATCCGGCGCTGGCACCGGGAGGTGACAGACACAGTCCAACCTTTCCACGTGGTTTTCCTGCTGGTGGGACACAAAAGCGACCTGGTGGGAGAACGGAAGGTGGGCAGGAGGGAGGCGGAGCGGCTGGCGGCCTCGTTGGGCGTGCAGTACATTGAGACCTCAGCCAAGGATGGCAGCGATGTGACGCGGGCGTTCCAGATGCTGAGCGTGGCCATTTACCGGGCGCTGCAGAGCGGGCTGCTGGCACCGTGTGAGGCTTGGGATGGGGTGAAGAGCAGCGTCCCACTGCCAGCACCGTGCCCAAAGAAGGAGGAGAAGCAGAAGAGGTGCGCGTGCTAAGGAGGGGATGGGAGGTGCTGGGTTCTGCCAGGTGCTGAGGAAGGAGGAGCAGTGAGTGATGGCATTAAACAGCCCTCTGCTCGCCCCACTGCCTGCCCCATTTCCTGGGGAAAGGGAGGTGCCAGGGCTCCATTCTTCTGTTCTTCCCCCCCTTACAAAGCGGTTCCCAGACAGCGAGCACAGCCCCTCCCTGTGCCCTCGGGTCCCAAACCCTTTTTATTATCTAGCAGAAAACTCCCTCAGCCCTGTGCCCAGCAGCACGCAGCCACGCTTTGGGCAGAACCTGGGAACACAAAGCAGCTCTGTGCCCCATGAGCTGCCTCTCCCTCCTGAGCACCAGTCAGACCGGCCTCAGCTGCACTCACTGCATGCCCTGGGCTCCCCAGCTGGACAGAGCCTTCATCTATCAACAAAGTGGGTTTCACCCATGGGTGCTGGCAGCTCTGGAGCCCCAGCAGTGAGCTCTGCAGTGTCTACAACCTCCCTTTCTTTGCAGGGAGCACACAGAGCTGCCCTCTCCCTCCTCACCACATCCCACAGCATCCATAGTTTCTCTGATGTGTGCCAGTTTGGGCAGAACAGATGCTGGGATGTGACCCTTCTTCACATCTTTATGTCATGAACGTACTCATTTCTTATCCTCAGCCACCACATCCCTCCTACCTCCAGCCAAGTAGAGGCTGAACCACATCAGGAGGCCTTGATTCAGTGAGCACAGGGTGGGCACAGCCCCATCTGCAGAGCAGAGACCACCCAACCCCCCGTCTCAACTCGAAGTCCAGCACAGATCTCACACACAGACACCAGGGTAACCCCACAGCTGCCTCTTTCCCTTGGTTTTAGATTAATAATTTCTTTATTCATGTAAAACAAACGCAAGTATTTATATAAACACTGACATTACAAAGTACTGGAGCGGGGAGGGGCAGGAAGGAGGAAACAAAAACCTCTACAGATGCTTCTAATACTGTCCCACACACACGATCAAATGCTCTGTCCCTCGGATAATCACTTATACGATAAACCACTTTCAAGTCACAAATAAAAGTCTTTGCTTTGAGATACGCTGCGCTCTTACGGGGGAACGAGGACAGAATGTTTTTGGCAGATCTCCTCATAAAGTCAGATATTGCTGCACCATTAATAAAAAATATATGCTTCTCTGTAAAGCATTAACAAAAATATCCCACGGATGGCATTGCAGAGGTTGCAGTGAGAGGCAGAGATCCCAAAATGCACCGCTGTCACCTCGAGCTCTTCCCAGGGGTTATTTCTTGGTGGTTTTGCGAATCAGTGCCATTCTCTGTAAGAAGAAAGAGAAGAATGTGGGAAGCTGAGTCTCAGATGAAGTTACTGCAAAACAACCTGAACAGCAGCTGTGCAGAACAACCCATCTCGGGTTCTCTCAGGGCACTGCCTGTTTTGTTTCTACACAGGTCTGTCGAGTCCATTTGAATCTCAGAGCCCTGGAGGAAAAGGAAGTGTCTGCATGTCCCCACTCAGCCCCCCAGGCTGCAAAGGCTGTGTGACAAAGCAGAGCAGCAGCATCAGGGGAGGAACCAAAGCCCACCCAAGCTCCAGGAGGAGAGTTGCAGTACCACCCAGGAACTCCAACAGTTCCTGCAGGGCACCTCCTGCCCTGCCTCTGGCCTCATACTTCAAAAGCAATCACTCAATTCAGTTAAAGCAAAATTAAGGGGGAAAAAAAAACAGCTGCCCAGCTGCAGTCACAGCTGAAATCACAGACAACTGCATGCTCTCTGCTGCAACTGTTTAACCTGATGGTGATAGGCAGCTGAGACCTGTGACATGAAGACACAGCAGGTGCCCTGTGCTGCTCACAGTATGTATGACTGCAGCCTTGGCCTGTGGGGACAAAGAAGCCCAAGGAAGCTGAGCCAAAGCCTGCTTGTGGCAGCACTGATTCCTGTGTGTGACACCACATCCAGCCACTGTGACTCTGTACCATGCAGCATGGATCTGCAAATGCAGGGTGGCAGTTCTGGTTACTTGCACCATATGCTGCATCCCAGACAGAACTGGCCACAAGACTTCTCCCAGGCAGTCCCTCAGGGTATCTCAGTTGTGCTCCTGCCTCCTCCAGTCCTTCTTTAGCATTCTGGGAAGAAAATCCCAGGCCTTGCCTTGATTTCTAACCACCTGCAGAGGAAACATCAGGCCAGGAGGGGCAGGGCAAGCGCTTTGCAGACCTACAATAATTCCTATGGTGTCTGTGTGATCTACAGTTGTAGTGGAAATGTTAAGTCATGGCTTGAAGCAGTGATTGAGCACCTGGTGGGAAGGCAGGGCCAACCCAGGGAAGCTCAGGTGCATGCAATGCACCTGAGTGACTGGAAGGGTTGGAGCCAGGATCCACCCCTTCCCAGACCTCATTTAAAGGTTAGCAGTGGAGGTGAGGGTATCTCTCATTGTAGATCCCTGCTATACCTGAGGCCTTCTGAAGGTAAGCAGCTTCTTTCCTTTGTTGTTGTGCCCACAGCTGTTGCATTTGTTGCAGTCTAGAACTTTGCTACTCTGCTGTCATTGCTGTGCTTTCCATCGCATTACATCACTCCAACAACCAAAAAAGTTCTCAGCTGCTTTTTCACCCTTCCCACCCAGGCTGCCACACTCAATCCTCTCTGCACAAACCAATGAGGAAACTCCAGAAGTTACTTCAAGTCCAAACCACTTGGAAGAGGCTACAGATTCATCGCTGCCAGGAGTCCAAGGGCACCTTACCTGCATCAGGCTTCTACCACGTGATTCTCAGCATGTTCTGAGGGCTTCTTACCTGTTTGTGAGCTTCTGTAGTGCAGGCTTTTTTGTAGGGCCTGATTTCTTCAGAACCAAAGCCCGGGATCCACATGTTCCACTGACGTTCTGGAATAGAGAGAACATGCCAGCACACTGCACCCACTTGGAGAGGGTGGGGTTAGGGGCAGATTATCCCCGTATTACGAGAGCAATGAATCTTCTCATGGGTTTTCTCCCCAGCAGTGGGGTGTGAGCCAACCACTCAGGTGAGGGCAAGCTCCTTACCAAGGTGCAACTGGACATCTTTCACTTCCAGGGTGTTTGACTTGCGGTGCCGTGCGAGCTGGCAGGCAGCTGTCACCACACTCTCTATGAAATCATCAGCAATTTGCAACAGCATCTGCCACAGAACGAGGACAAGACGAGGTCTTATCAGTACTGAACAGCTGAAACTATGAAAACAAACCCTCAGAAGATAATGTTTCAAGGGTGTTTGCCATGCTTCCCTGAAAGTTTTCTGAACACTGGAAAGCAGAGATGTGGATGGCTGAAGGCTGCCATGAACAAGGCAGTGTAATATAAAACAACGCTCCCAGCTTTGGGCAAAGGGCCATCAGACTGTGGAAAACCCCAGATCTGCTCTTTCTGCAGCCCCTGCTGTGGGTTGGTACCTACTTCCTCCACGTCTTCATCTAGCTGTTCATTTGGATCCACCTCACGCACCAGGTCCTGCAATTTCTTCTTGGTTAGAACCTGAGTATGTGAGAGAGAAAAGAGGAATAATTTACTGTGCTGTTTTAGCAAATAACTGCCCACCCTGCATGGCCACAAAAGACCTCCTCCCTCACAAAGCAGAGACCCAAGTCACCCATGTTGATGCATAGTATCGGCTCAGGAAGGGCAGATCAAGTGCTAAGGAGTCATTTTCAAGCACCAGTGACTGCTCTGATCAGAAAGCAGAGTGCAACAGGCCAGGATGACTAATTCTCCTGCACTAAATCAGCACTAAAATGCCCCTGGCTGAAGCATGGCTGATGGCAAGAGAGGACAAAGACATAATGAGAAATCTTAAAAGGCAAATGCAAGCAACGTTCCAGCAATTAATTTTGTGTTCAGGACACAAAGGAAGTATTTCCATTGCTCTAGTGCTCATCACCTTTAGCATTTCAAATGGCAAACAGACACACGTGAGTGCTGGATTACTGCAGAGCAGAAGGCAGCATCCTCTCAATATGTCCCAATATGTCAAAAGATTGGGAATTTCACCACTGCAGAGCAGTTGTAAGAGGTGTGAGCATCTCCCCTGCAGCTGGAGATGAGTTTACCTGGTTGCTTTCAGGACTGAGCCGCCCTCCTCCACTGGGTGTGCCAGGCATCTTTGCCACGGCTGTGCTGTTTGCCATGGAGCTCTGAGGGGGAGTGCTGGCAGGTTCAGGCTTTATGGAGGAGAAGTTGGAGAGGTTGATCAAGGTAGATGGGCCAAACTGGTTCATAATCTGTTGGGCTTTAGCTTTTAGATCATAAAGCTTGTCGAGGTCCTGCTTCTTCTTGGGGTTGTGGGGACCCAAACCGATCAACTGCAGAGAGAAACAGAAGACAGTCAGCAAACAGAGCAGGAATCCAAAGGGGGCTTTGCCCTCGCTACTTGACAGAACCTAGAGTTTACAGATCAGGTCTCTAGGCACAGTAAGGGAAGAGGAATGTTTAGAAAACATTCCATGGTATCTGGGGAATGAAGTTTGCCCTGAGAAGCACAGCAGCTGCATGCAGCACACTGACAACAGTGGCTCCTCGCCCTGCTGGGTCCTGCATGTATTCAGCCTCATAGCAGGGCCTGCCTGAACCACTTCACATGTACTGAAGGCAGCTTTGAGGGTGAAACTGTGCTCAGAGCTGAGATTTAACCTAAGGACACAGCCCAGCCTGCAATGCACAGCAGGCTTGAGCCCTGTCCGTGGTCTCTCTATCCTCCACAAACCCAGGAGGCAGAAGCCCAAACCAGAAGACAACCAGGCTCAGGCTCTCTATGCAGGAGGTCTCAGTTCCAGCTTTGCTCCAAACCTGCTCTGCAGCAATCCCCCTCCTGAAATCCAGAGCCATCTTCACAACACAGAGCTCAGCCCCAGTTCTAAGGAACAGTGATAAGAAAGGAAACACGGATGTGGCTTCCCACAGCAGGACACCAAAAGCCACAGTGAGGGAACCTAACAGGCAGCCAGGGGGGGTTCTGGCAGCACAACCTGCAGCTCAGATCTCCTGGGGTCACCACCACGTGCCTGTGGTTACTCAAACTGTCAACTGCAAGTGATTGCGTGGATGGACCAGAGCTGCTGTATGCAATACACTCACATACAGACTGATGAGCAGAGTGTTTCCTATCTCAGCTACAAACAGACATTTTCCTTTCAGCAGAGCAAGCTGTTAGTTTGGATTAATTCATACAGAAAACAAAACCAGAAATCACGCTCAGACAGTGGCTGTTTTAGTGCTTCACTGCAACACAAACCCATGCACTGCTGCACTGTGGAGCTCTTCTAGAAGAATTTACATTGAGACACGCTTCTGTAGGGCTCTCAGCAAATTCCCAGCTCACTCAGTTTGAACCAGTCAATGGCAGAAGGCCCTTATGCTCAAATCTCAGCATCCTCCGTGGTGTTTCTGGACGAGGCATTTCACTGCACGCCTGGGTTTGCACAGAGGCTGGCTGGAGGCCATTTGCTCCCATGCTGCATTTATGCATCCACCAAGCAGGAATCCTCACCTGCCATGCAGGGGAGCAGGCGATGCCTGTGCAATGCTTTGAAATCCTGGGGCAGGATGCACTTTATTGGTATAAAGTCGTTTTGCACATTTCTCACTCGATCTTACTGGCACTTTTTGTGTGCCTTTAAGATCACCAAAGGCAAAACACCCAGGATGAGGAGGTCCCCACCAGTCCTGCATGCCAACTCAAGGCAAGCTCACGCAGTTTACTTACAGCTATCTGCGTGTCTAGATCTTTAATTACATCAGCCACTGCTGTGGGCCCAGCGAACGGAGAGGCCATTTCCCAAAGCCTTCCCGGGGTCAGCAGCCAGCGTTAACCTACTCTCTCTTCCTCCTCTTCCACATCACTCTCATTCCTACAGGAACACCAGATATTTCCCGTGTCACCCATTCCCTCGTAACATCTCAACAGGAAACAGTTTCACCACACTGCAGCACGCATTCCATCTGTGAATTTCCTTTGCAGCTGCCTGGGTCGTGCTGCTCATCCAACCTAATTCTCTCTTTCAGTTTAAAGCCATTCCCCTTTGTCCTATCGCTATCGACCCACGTCAGATGTCGCTCTCCCTCCTGTCTATGATCTCCCTCCAAGCACTGGCAGGCTGCACTGAGCTCTCCCGGAGCCTTTTCTTCTCCAGGCTGAACACCCCGTAGGAACACACAGCAGAGCAGCTCCAGCCCTCCGATTACACCAGCAGACAGCGGGCTTTGGGGCTCCCGTTGGGAGCACTGCCGGGCAGCTCCGTGCTTTCCTTGCAGCGGGTGGCGTGGCCTCAATGAACACCACGATTCGCTTCCCGGCGATCCTCCGCAGCTCGTTAAGCATCGCCGCTGCTGCAGCACGGAGCTGTAATTAGCGTCTAGAATCAAACGAGGCTTTCCGTGCCCCCGTCCTGCTTTAGGACTGACATCCCCGGCACACCGGGAGGCCAACGCTGCCCCTCACAGCCAGCCACAGCCTCAGCCCCGCCGGTACCGGCTGCAGCTCGGCCGGCTGCACCCCACGCTGCACCCCGCGCCGCTCCCCCGGCCCCTTCGCCCCGTACCTCCCCATGCCCCGTGGGCGGACCGAGGCCCCGCCGCCGGCTGCGCTCCCTTCGCCGCGCACACCGGATGCCCTTCCGGGGCACCACCCGGAAGTATTTACGGCACCGCCAATCAGAGGACGAGGTGCTCTGCGCGTGCGCAAAGCGGGATCTAGCAGAGGCGCCGCCGCCCGCGCGCAACGCGGGTTCCGAAGGAGGGGCCACTGCGCGTGCGCAGAGTGGTGGCGGGGAAGGGAGCGGCCCAGCATGCACCGCGCGATTTGCATAGCGCTCCGAGGCAAAAGGGACGGGGAGAAAACGGTATTTTAGGGAAAAAAGACGCAGAAATGGCTAAAAGCGCAGTGAAATACGAAGGGGAAAAGGTAAAAAATAAAGTATTCCCTCTGTCTTCGGGGAAAATACCACGAGACTCGCCGCGAACTTGAAGGGAGTCTGTCGCTGCCCAGCGGCCGCAGCGCGAAAGCGAAGCTTTAAAAAGGGCTTCTGCCGTGCGTGGCACGGGGGGGTTCCGGCCGCCCCCGCGGAATCGACATCAAGAGATTTCGGAAGCACAATTTTTGTGGGAGGGGTCGCCGGTAACCGCTTGTTCTGGCGCCCCGGGGTGGCGGTGCGAAGAGTAGCGAGGAAAGCGGTGGTCACGTGAGGGAGTCACGTGGGGGTGTGGTGGGGGCTGCGTCCACGTGTGGAGCCGCGTGGCAGCTGCGGTTGTTCCTATAGGAAGCGGCGGTGCTGCGGCGGCTGCGCGTAGGGGCTGCTGGTGCCCATAGCGCTCCTCCATAGGGCTGTATGGGATGCGTCACGCATAGCAGAACTCGTCGGCTTCTGCCCAACTCTGAGCCCTGCGTGAGGGCGCTCGCACGGCAGCTGATGGTTTATATACATGTATGTATATATATATATATTTAAATAAAAGTGCAGATTTAGGTATAAAACCCCTCCGCGCCCCAAGGAAGGGCTCCATCCGAGGGTGGGCAGCTCTCCTCCGCCACCTCACCAGGCCTCGTGGTACACATGAGAGAAGGGACAGTCTGCGAGCTGCTGTGAGTGGGATCCCTCCGCAGGGAACCCGTCCCCATGGGGGCTGGCAGTCCGCTCCACCCCAGGCAGCTGCAACGGGGGGGCAACGTACCGTGTTGGGGGGGAGCCTGGGGAGCCGGCACGGTTCGGGGAGGCAGGGAGCCCTGCGGTGTCACTGGGGTTCCAGCGGGTGCCGACGTGCTCGGGTTCACCAAACGGTGTGGCGTATTCGGGTTCTGGTGGCAGAGGCTCTGCGTATTCGTGGTGTTTTCCCGGCACGTCGTAGTGGCTCACAACCAGCGGCAGGGTGTAGCCCTCGTCGGGGGGAGGCTTGAAGGTGGAGGAGGCCAACTGGCTGCTGGGGCTCACCTGGACCACATCCGGCTCGGCGTAGTCTGCAGTGGGGGAACACGGCTCTGAGATGGGGATGGGGCAGAGGGAACGGCCCCACAGAGGTACGTGGCACTGTGTTTACCCCTGGGTGGGCACAGACCCACAAAAGCTGTGTGGGGCATGGCACCCACCCCACATTTCCCTCTGCCGCAGTGCCCTCTGGCCACCTTGTGATGCCCATGCACTCCCAAGCTCTCCCTTTGCAAAGGGACCCAGGGCTGGAGCAGGGTGCAGCGGGAGGGATGTGGGTCTTTTCTGCCCCATCACTGTGCTCCTGTGTTCCCATTACCTGGTGAGGTCTGGCTGAGGTCACCCAGCACCACAGGGAAGGAGGGCAGGGTGGATCCGGGCGGTGGCAGGCTCCCCAGGGAACACACCTGGCTTGCCTCCAGCTTGGGTTGTCCTGGGCAGAGAGCAGAAACTTCCATTTATCACACGCCTGCCTCCCACCACCCCTGGATGCCCTTGAGGATGGAGGTGCCCCCAGAGTGGGACATCAGGAGGAGCAGGAAGGAGCCTGAGCTCAGACCTTCAACCAGCTGCATCTGACCTGAATTCAGCACCTCTCTGAGCCCCCCACAGTGAGTGGGGGTTATTACCTTTCGTGAGCCCACAGTTCAGCTTGGTGGCTGGCTTCCTGCAAGGGGAGAGAGCATAACACGGGTGAGGGGCTGCCTGTGATGGAGGCATCCACCAGGATGCAGCCAGCAGCTTAACAGAACCCCCCAGAAACCCAATGATTTGTGGGGAGGGGGGGACAGGCTGGGACCCACCTCCTCCTGCGGCAGAGGAAAGCCAGCAGCAGGAGGCTGGAGCAGAGGAGGACAAAGACGCCGATGAGAAGCATCACCAGCAGTGTGGAGTCTGGGAAGGGAGAGTAGCATCAGCACCTGGGGCCACCATCCCACACTTCCACGTCTGGGGTTCCCCTGGGTGCTGAGAGCCCACCCTGGGTGAGCTGAACTGCACAATTAACATGACTGCCCGGAACCAACAACAGGATGAGGATCAGCCCCTGTGTGGTGGCACCCACCTGCCTTCTCAGGGTCCAGGGCGACGCCAGGGATGGGTGTGCGGCCAGGCGGGCGGCTGGTGGGGATGGGGATGTGGGCAGGGACCTCCTTTGGGACGCTGGGCACTGCAGGGCAAAGCGGGTGCTGTCAGTGCTGGGAGTATGGAGAGCTGGAAGCCCCCAGGGGCACGAGGGATGCTCACCATAGGGCCGTGCTGCACGGACTCGTGCCATCTGGCAGCCCAGCAAGGCCACCTTCAAGGCAGCACGTTGATGCCAGCTCTGGGGTGTGATGCGCAGGTAGCGGGTCGTGATGGGTGGGATGAAGGCGTTGGAGACCTCCCCGAGGCTGTCCATGTTTCCTTCAAAGACCTACTGGGGAGGGCAGGGATGGCTGCAGAGCTGCAGGCTGAAGGTTGCTCCCACCCTGCTGCCCCCGTGCCCACCTTGTCCTCCCGGCCACTGCTGCCCCTGTAGGGTCTCCAGTTCTTCCCATCACGGCTGGAGGACACCCGGTAGGACGTCACGTAGAAGTCATATATCTCAGCAGATCCCTTTGTGATGATCCCTGTTGGGCAGGATGCACCCTTATGTCACCCCAACCCTCCCAAAGCTCCTTCCTGGGCACCCACATCCCCCACTCTGCCCTGAGGAGCCGATAAACCCCGGCTGCATTCCTCCCTCCTCCGGCCCCCGGTCTCACAATGTCCCCATTTTCTTCCTGCCGGCCTCTGCACAAAGCCCCCGTTGGCGGCGGGCTTGGCTGAACAAAAGGCACTCGCTGGCACCAGATGCAAGAGCATAATATTGACTTGTTCATCCCAGAAATGGCTGCAGAAGTGGGGAAGGAAGAAAACGAGGACAGAAAAAAGCCACGAGGAAGGACCGATGCTGTCCGGATCCCAATTTGCACCAATACAACCAGAGCAGGGGATGGCACGAGGAGCCCACAAACTCTCCTGGGAGTCACAGGTTAGGGAGGGGAGGGGATCTGCAGCCTCTTTGGGCAGTGTGGGGGTCCCATCTGGGCAGTGACCAGGGTGGCATGGGAACAACCAGCCCCATCCACCACAGTGCTGACCTGTGACATTTCTGCGGGTGCCCAGGTCCAGCTCCAGCCAGGCGGTGTCAGTGCTGGGATCAGCTGCCCAGGAGGGGCTGGGGGTGCCCAGGGCTGCCCGCTCAGCTGCCCAGCTCCGCTCCTGCCCCAGCATGTCCACCTCCTGCCACCAGGATGACGCGTTGAAGGCGACCACCTCCAGGGCATCGCCGCAGGCTGCAAGGTGAGGTGACAGCTGGGGACCTGGACAGGACCACGGCCTCCTCGTGCAGCCAAAATGATGGCTTAATGCATGGGAAAATACCTTTGTGGAATAGGAGACGCTTCTCAGAGAGGGAGCCCCTGTGAGAAGGGAAAGGGGGGATGTCAGGAATGGTCCTGTAAGGCAAAGACCCAGCAAACCCACCTGGGGGGGCTCTGACACCGAGGGGTGGCAGCTGGGACCGCTGTGCCCACCTTTTGGAGTGCAGCCCATTGGCGAAGGCAGACTCGTAGAGTGTGATCCCCTTCTCACGGGACAGGGTGACCTGCCCACCCACCTCATCGGCGACCACACCGGCGTGCACAGCTGCTTTGCACAGCACTGAGGTCTGCAGGAAGCGTGGGATCAGAGCAGCCAGGCCCCCCCAAGGTGAACCTGTCCTCCCTCCACCTACTGGCAGCAGGATGGAGGTGACAGGTGACAGACAGCCAGCTGCTGGGGACAGTCCCCAACAGGGCACCCATGGGTGACACCTCCCAGGAGAGCAGGGCTCTGTACGTACATCCCGGTAGCCGTCCTTTGTGTTGCCCCAGATGTCCCCCTCGATGTCCTTGCAGCCAGCAGGGCAGTACACACTGAAATGTACAGGATGAGTGGGATGGGGAAAGTGTGATGGAGACAGGGAGTGATGCTGGGCTGGGGACTGCTCAGACAGGCTGCTGGTGGGACAGCTGCTCACCTGACGTGCTCCTGGAAGAAGTGGGTACCTCTGACCAAGCAGGAGATCAGGTCTGCAAGGAAGGGATGCCCCAGGGTGAGGGGCTGTGTGGGACCCCACAGCACGCAGCTCTCCCTGTGGCACCCATCTCTGTCCCCTTCCCAACCAAATCCTGTTCCAGGGGTAGGTTTTTCCCCCTGGGTCTGCAGGAACAGGGTATAGTGTTTCCTTGGTCACAGTGCTCTCTGCAACGGAGCTTGATGCTGGGGCCCCAGCTGCCCTTGGGGTGCCATGTCTGAAGGTCCCCAGTTCCCTGCCATTCCCTCTCTCACATCCACAGCCTCCAGGCAAGGAAAATGGAGGCTTATAGGAGGCTGGGGGCAATGGGAGCCAAGCTGGGGTGAGCACAGACCTTCCTGCACCCCTATCTGTGCCCCTGATACAGGCAGGGACACAGCCAGAGGGGTCCAGCACCTGCAGAGGACAACCCCCCTCCCTACCTGGGTGCTGTGAGCTGGCATAGGACAGGAGGAGGCCTCGTCCTGAGCGGTGGCTGGTGCTGTTGAACAGGATGGTGATGGCACTGGAGTTGGTGACCAGCAGCGGGGTGGCAGGGACAGCATTCCTACAGTAGGGCCCTGCAGGAGGGATGGGGCTGTGGGGAGGACTGGGGTCCCTGGAGTGGACACAGGGACCCAGATTGAGGGCTTCACCTCCCCAGATGTGTGTGCTGGGAAGGATGCTCAGGGTGACCCCATCACTGTCCCCACAGCCACAAAATGACAATGCAGTGACGTCACATCTGCCAGCCAGGTCATCCCCCGCTGCTTCCCGGCAAACTTCTCTTAAGAGCTTCTTAATTGCACCCAGCTGGGATGGAGCAAGCAGCCATGTGGCCAGCAGCCCTTGTTGAGGCAATGGCTGTGGGTCTGGCACGCACGGTTCGGCTGCACAATGGGTCCACATTCCCTCCCCACTGCCACCCGTCCCCCTTCCACAGGAGCCACCAAAGCTTTCTCCTAAATCCCCCGGAGCAGCGACTCATTTAATCCAAATTGATTTGCAGTCTCCATCTCTCTGATTAAAACTTCAGCTTAGCGAGGAAGATGGGTTCCTTGGGGACATCCCTGGGCATAGATGGGGACAAGAGGTGTCCCCAGTGCCTGCATCACTCCTCTTTGTCCATCCTTCCCGATGGATGGAGGGCACAACAGGACAGGCTGTGCTGCTGCTCTGCATTGCTTCCATCTCCAGGCGCTCAGAGATGCTCCCAGCAGCACTGCTGTTGTCCCAGGGATGGGGACGGTCCCCAGGACCCCAGCATGTCCCTGAAGGGAGGGCAGCAGGGTCAGGCTGTGACGTTGGTTGGGCGCCAGGAGCCGGCTCTGAGTCAGCCGCTTCCCGACAACCAGCTGGGATCACTCCAGGGACAGCAGCAGATACTGGTGGGACCCTGCCTGACCCCATCCCCATGGCAAAGGCACTGAAAGAGGCTGGGGGTCCGGAATGCTGGGTGGGTGGGCAATGTGCTGCGTGGCTGATCCCTCTCTGCCACCCCCATCCCGTCCCATTGGGGCCGTCCAACCCCACTGCCACTTCTCCCTTCTGGAGATGTTTCCCCACTGGGTGCTGTCAAACTGTTCAATCTCTCCAGGAAAATCCTGGAAACGTTTGGGCAAAGTTACTTAATCAGCAGCTGCATCTGCTCCCATCTGGGTCGCCTTGGCTATCTCCCCCCCCCCCCCCCCCCCCCCACCCCAATCCTCCTCGGGATGAAATCAGCTAAAAAGCCGGATTTCCCCTGATCCCCTCCTTAGCAAAGGCTTTATGTAACGCGATCTGCACCCCTCCGTGCTGCCTCAGTTTCCCCCTTTACCATAAGCAGTGCCTCTCTCAGGGTCGGCCAGCAGCAGGGAGCTGTGGGTGCAGTGCTCCGAGGACTCCAAGTCGACGTCCCCAAAGGCCACGATGAGGGAGGTGCCCGGGGGGGCCTGCAGCTGCCAATGGCACCAAGTGTGGTTGGGATATGTGCCGGGGTAGTTCCTGGAGCTCAGCGTCCCGCTCTGTGCTGTCAGCACTGTGTGGCCACAGCCATCCCCTAAATGAAGGCAAAGGAGTGGGGGTTGCTCTCCGTGCCTCAGTTTCCCCATGCTGCACTGCCCCATAGGGATATGGGTCCTCTTTCAAACCCTTCTGGGGATGGCCCACAAGATCACAAGACAGCTCCAGTTTCCCCTCTGCAGACATCATTGTGCCACCCCTTTACTTTTAGGACCCTGATTTGGGGGGGGATCTGGGGGAAATAACCCCACAGGGCTGTACAGCACCCAGCCCACCTCTGTGTCCCTCACGTCCTCAAAGTGACCCCCGCCACAAAGGGGCTTTACGTGGCAGAATATCCCCAAAATCCAGATACAAAAGAGGGGTTTTCACTGCGTCGTGTCAACCAAAGCGCTCAATTCCTGCCCCAAAAGCCGACAAAGCCGTGCCTGGATGGGGCTGGAAAGCTCACAACAGCACGCAGACCCCGAGCAAAGTCTGCTCCGTGCATTGCCGGGGGGGTGGGGGGAGGCACTTCTAGGGCACGAGGGTGGGGGGTAGCAGCACTGAGCCCCCCATGGGCTTTGGGGGGAGGGGGGGGTCACCGCTCATCTTCTGGGAAACGAAACCCCAAATCGTCAGCCGTGCCAAATCCTGCGGGGAGGGGAAACTCTGCAGGACGGGACGGGACGGGACGGCGGCCAAAGCGGGACACCGGATGGGATGCGGGGCTGGGGGAGGCGAGGAGGAGGGCAGCGCCATCAATGGGGACATTAATGGGGGACGTCAATGGGTCACCATCCCCCCCCCCCCAAAAAAAAAAGTAAACCCCGAACGCAATACGAATGGAGGCACCAACGGGGACATCAAGGGGTCACCTCCCAAAAAGTAAACCCCGAACCCGACCTCAACGGGAGCATCAATGGGGGATCCCGGCGCGGACGCCAACGGGCCACCCCCCAAAGAAAGAAACCCCAAAGTGCGGCGGGATCGCCGGCACCGACACCGAAGCCGTTGCGGGTCGGCACCGCCGGGAGTCCATCCCGGTTCTGCCTCCGCTCCCGCCGCCGCCCCGCACTCACCGTGCTGCCCCGCGGCCGGGCGCGGTGCCATCAGAAGGCAGCGGCGCAGCAGCAGCACGAGCAGCGCCCGCGCCCCTCCGCCCGCCCGCATCCTCCCGGCGTCGCCGCCGCCGCCACCGCCGCCGGCCGCCGCCACCAACCGCGCCGCCCCGCCCCCTCCACGCCTATTGGCCGCCGCCCTCCGGCCCCGCGCCGCCATTGGCTGGCCTCGGCGCCACTCGGACGGAGCAGCGCGGGCATCCCGCCAGCTGGGGGCGATCGAGAGCCTCGCTCTGCTCAGGGCGGCGCGGCCCCTTTAAGACAGGCGGCGGCCGGAAGTGCTGGCGGCCGAGGCCGCGGCGCTCAGTGCGCATGCTCCCCTCTGCCCGGCCCCGCTTCCCCCACCCCTCCCCCCCTCGCCTCCCAGCCCCCGGACTCGGCCGCTCGGGCGACGACGGTAAGGGCCGACTCGGCGGCGACGCTACGGGAGCCGGGAGGGGCCACGCGGCGGCGGAGGCGGCGGCGGCGCGACGGGGCGGGGCGGGGGCGCGTGCGTCGCGCCGTACGTGCCGCCGCCGGCGCGAGGGCGGGCGCCGCGCGCCGCGGGGGGGCGGAGGGGGG